ATGGGTCTGAAAGCAGTAGAGTGGAGGAGGAGGGGATGAGACAACTAAAGGACTTTGCAAGTATCTTTTTATTTGTGAATTTTAGTTATTAAATAAATACAGTATGAAACTATTAGGCTGTTTTTTTTCCAACAACCATAAAAGAAACCCTGGATTGTGGAACTGAAGCTGCAGTACTCAAACAGGTTTTCAAGCATGCCTGCTTGCACAGGTAATGTTCAATGCCATCGGACTGCTCATCAAAAGCATCAGCACAGATTCTGTTCTGTTTGAGCCCTTTTTTGTTTTGTTTTCTATAAATAGCTATTTTCTTAATTTTTTTCCTTTTATTCCCTTTTTTTCACGAGAATGAAAGTCATAAATGCAACCATCAGTAAAAATGAATGAATTGGCGTGTTTATACTGTAAGAGTGGTCTTGGTTCTTATTTTTTGTTTGTTTTTGGGGTTTTTTTAAAAAAATCTTGTGAATAAGTTTGAATTTCTCAAAAGTGCTTGTTTTGTTGTTGCTGGTTTTGGTTTGTTTTCCTCCCCTGCTGCCTTCCAAAGGTGGATTTATATATATATCTTGACACTTGAGAGAACCTCAGTATTGAAAAATGTACCATCTGTTGGGAACGGTCGGTGCAGGGGCAGCTTTGAGCGATGGATCTGCTGCTATTGAGCCCTTCTGCAGTGCTCTAAGTAAACAACACATTTTCCTGGTATGTGCTAGGCTGGTATTGGTTCCTTGTGTCCTCCCACATGGATTAACTCTTCACATGCTTTTCTCCTCTTGCAGAACCGCAGCCTGCGTGTCGGTGTGTGTAGCTTGGAGCTCTGGGGCCTTTTCTCCCCCCGCATCGCTGTGTCCAGGTACCAGCAGTAGCTGCTCATGTGCTGGATCTTGCTCTCAGGAGGTTGGGCTGGGGGTAGAATCACCACTCAGAACAGAGCTGAAAGAGCAAAAATAGCTTTGGCCTCCCTTATGGAGAGGGTGAGGAGTCGGAGTTGGGCGCCGTGTAAGTTGGTGTAAAAGTCACACCAAAAATCCCAGAATCACAAATGTTTGTGTTGGACCTTAAAGCCCATCTCATTCCACGCCCCTGCCATGGGCAGGGACACCTTCCACTAGCCCAGGGTGCTCCAAGCTCTGTCCAACATGGCCTTGGACACTTCCAGGGATGGGGCAGCCACAGCCTTTCTGGTCATTAACCTCTACATAATTATCCAGCCAGCCATTCCTTGGCTTTTACCGCTGTGGAAAAACAGAGAGGGGTCCAACCCTTTAGATTCTGTGCACTAGAAATGATTCACACTTGTTCAACCTCCCCGAGACACGGTCTGATAACAGAAAAACACTAAAATAAGGGAACCGAGCGCGTTTGTTTTTTGAATGAGCATCTTGCAAGAGCAGCTGAACAAAAGGACGGTGGAATTCTTTTCATTTGCACCCAGACTGGAAGAGTACCAGGAGGTTTTTGTACATCAAGAGATTTCTGCGACAGCTTGCGAGGGGGAAGGAGGAAGAACAAGGGATTGAAGCACCTCGAACACCAGCTGAGACCCAGAGCGCTGGGTGTGGTGAGGGGGTGGTCCCGTTCCCTGCCTGTGTAACCCCTCGTGCCTCAGAGAATTCCCAGCTGTAATTGGGAGCTGCACAGTTTAATCAGAGCGTTCCCATCACGAATGGAAAATGGCTGGAGCAATGTGGATGGATGACTGGCACACCCGCAGGAGGGAGCGGGGGGAGGGGGACCCTCCTTCCTTCCCCCCTGGAATCGGGCACGGGATCGTGCGAATGCCTGACGACGCTCTCTGCTACCTTTTAATAATGCAGCAAGCTTGCAGAGGAAGGCGAGATCAGCCTCCTCTCCTTCCCAGGGCTGCTGCATTGGCGTTCCCGCCGCAGGACCAGCAGTGCCACCGCGCGGGCTGCCAGGAGGACTCCGGAGCCTTCGCCGAGGTCGGAGCCTTTGGCTGCCTTTGTAATGAATTCTGTCTCGCAGGGCACACGCCCGACCACGGGGGCTGCTGCGGGCGGCTTTGTTGAGCCTTCAGCAGCAAACTGTTCAGGGCCGAGGCCAGATGTGTAAATCACCCTCGGTTTTTCCTCCCCGCCCATCTGGCGAAGGGGGCTCTGCTCTGTGCGGCTGCACCGGCGCAGATGGGTTTTTTTTGGGGGAGGGGGCTTTCATGGTTCGTTCTGGTTTCAAAAGCAGAATTCCTGGTGTATGAAAAGCTCTTATTCTTTTCTTCCCCCCCCCCCCGCTCCTGCTTGCCCTCCCGCCCTCCGTGTCCCTCCCCGGATTGTGGCAGGCACTGTTCTGTTTCCAGCAGCAGTAAATCAGCGCAGGTTCCGAGAGGAGGGGAGAGCATTTTCCCTCTTCCTATAAAAAATGGAGGAGCAGCTGCTGTGGCGTGAGCAGCACTGCCTCTCGTGCTGCTCTCTCTCAAACACAGCCTCCTCTTGCCCTCCATGCCTTCAGAAGCAGCCGTGCAGCTCCTGCACTGAGTTATTCCCTGGGGAGCCGGGAGGTTTCTCTGGAACTCCATCAACGTCGCCTGTGGGAAAACGCCGGCCAGGAGTGAAGCGGGATGTGCTGACAGACAGCAGTGACAGGCTGCCTCCTCCTCCTCCTCCTCGAGTGACAACTCTGCTGCTTCAGCTGCTCCCCCTCCTCATCTCGGGGAGCAGTTTGGATTTGACTTGTTTACTTGGAGACACGTTTTATATCAGCACAGCTGGGTCTGCTGGGAGGAGGAGGCATCTGCAGAAATGGCTGGAAACAAAGACTGGTGCAGTGGTGCAGGCTCACAGTGGTGTGTGTGCTGTTACCTGCACACACAGCCCTACATGGGGCACAAAAATACCCAGAAAGTGGCTTTAGGTGTATTTTCTAGACCCTCAGCCGCTCGACTGTAGCCAAAGCTTTGCCTGATGATGGTACCCAATGGAAAAAGCCAAAACTGGAGAACTGGTTAAACCCCAGGTGGGTGCTCTTGCTGCTCAGAATTAGTGCCCTTAATTCCCTTCCTATAGTGTGACTTATCCAGCTGGAACTGTTTGTGTTCCATACACACAATGTCCTCATATTGGAAGTGATGTCTCCAGGTGTGATCCATTGGAGCTGCTGGCCAATGGCTGCAGATGTAATTCCAAATCCATTGATTCCTCTTGGTTCTCCAGCACCTCAGGATGTGTATTACTCTCACTGCTGATTTTTTCGAGGTGCTCTGTTGCCTTTTCTGTGCTGATAACTGTAGTTCTGTTCCCTCAGGGAGGGGAGGCTGAGGGATTGCTCCCAGGGTAGGAGGGAAGCACTTGGCTTCTGATCAGTGTTTTCCCCAATTTCTGGGACACCAAGGCAACCTGGTGACAGGAGGAACAGCCCTGTGCCAACAGGGGCTTTGGCTGGGCGTGAGAAGGTGAGTGTCCTCCTGGGCCAGCGGGAGCAGGAGCTGCCAGTGCAACACAGGGTGAGCTGCTGCGCTCGCTGGCACGAACACTTCCCTAAAAGCTCTCTCCTTTGAATAATTGATGCCTCTTGATCCTCCAGGGATGCCCTGATTGCAGAACTGGCTGCACGGGTTCAGGTTTTGAGTCCTGGTTTTAAATAAGGTTCTGAATTTCCTTCCACAAGAACCTTGGCCGAGGGTTCCTGGAGGTGACGCTTGAAGGTGCACAGGCCACTGGAGCTGGGCCACAGCCACGTGTCCCCAGTGCTGCCCACGGCAGCTCCCTGCTGGGAAGGGGTTGTGTGATGAGACACCACTTCTGTTCGTGAGGGTTTTCCTTCTCCTGGAACCTCCATCCTCGCTGGGAAGCGCTTGTGCATAGAGGACAGAGAGCTGGGGGCTTTCCCAGTCCTGATGCAAGGGGAGGATGTGCTGGTGCTGCCCCAAGGTAGGTGCAAAACCCTTTACCTTGAACACTGATTGCAGCTCTGGAGAGCACAGGAACTGATGGCATGAGAGCAGAGCTCGTTGGAGCAGATTCCACAGGAGGGAGCTAAGGCTGTGGGAAATGATGCTGAGGAATTGGAGGCCCTAGAGGAGGGGAAAGTGGCAATGTGAGAGGGGAGACCAAGAGGGTCTTCACAATGAGAGAGTGGGAGATAGAGGAGGTCTAAGGTTGGAAGGCAAATGGACTCTTGGTGCTGAGAGAGTGTGGGAGGTGACCAGAGTGAAAGGCTCACCTTTGCAAGTGATGCCTTTTTTAATGAGAAAAAAAAACATTTAAAGAAATATATAATATGGAAGGGTCAGAGTCTGTTTATAACTCTCTGCTTGTGCTTTCTCCAGCTTTCCCAGTGCCAGTTTGTACATATATTGACTCATTTGTTCTTCCAAACTTGAAGTTCTAGTTTGAGAAAGTGGAAGGGATGAGCTCCTACCAGGAGCAATTCCTCGCCAAGCAAAAAATGTCTATACCCTCCTTTAGTGGAGATGAGAACTTCATGTGTTGAAATCCCTGTTTTTCTGTGGTAGCTTTCAAAGCCAGGTCAGATAAAAATACTCCCTTGAAGCAGCTCAATCTCCAGCTGGTTCCTGACTTTCACCAGCTATTTGGAGTAACCCAAAGCAAACATAGGTAGATCCAGTGTTTTAGTAAGTTCTCAGCCCTGGGTGAGCTTCCACATTTAAACCCAATTCCACTGAGGGTTTTGGTGCCTGTCCCAGCTCCTCGTGTGCAGCATCATGTCCTGTCATGAGGTAAAGCCTCACCTTCTCCACTGACCTGTCCTCCCCTCCCAAGCAGTGCTGGAAGCTGGCAGTGGAGCTTTCCACACTGGATCCTTGCGACTTCAGCCAGGAACTCCTTGGATCTAAGTCCGCATTTGAGATATTTACAGCGCTGCTGTAAATTGTTCTGGTGCACAGCAGAGATTCCAAGCAGGAAAAGGTGAGCTCTCCATGGGGACTGGTGGATGGCACATTCTGATCCTTTGCAGGGACAAAGTGTCACTGATGGTGGGAGGATGAAGATGCCCCCACGAGATGGCCGGGACGTCTACGGAGGTCATGTGGGAGGATAAAATCAGATACTGCTAAATGGGAAGTGACTTCTGTCACTCACTGGGAGTGCACAAGAATAATGAGAATTTAACTTCCTGAGTGGGAGCAAAGAGCCCTGTGCAACCTCTGGCCCTCACTTTATCCTTCAGGCCCTGGCAAAGCCTGGGCTGGGTCGGCCAGTCCGGGTAGCAGCTGGTACAGTCACTGGCAGCAGAGGGTGAAGCAGCTGTGTTTTGGGGGCAGAGGGAGCACCCCTCCACTCTGAGCCTGTGCAGGAACACCCACTGCGGTCACACCATGGGTGTCTTCTCTTGGGAAGGGGAACAAATGATCTTGAAGTGTCCGTCATCAGGGCTGGGAACGGCCCCAGCACATCCCGTGCTGCAGATCCCGGTGCAGGAGGGAGCAGCTCTTTCACCGGCGTGACACGAGGCGCTGTGGCTGGATTTGATCTCTTGCACAGCAGAGCCGTTTCCAGGGAAGCAGAAGCCGCAGGTTTCCACTGGCCCTGGGACTCTGCTGCCAGTGAACCCCTCACCGACGCTGCCCGCTTCCACCAGCCGATCTGCAAAGAAACTGTGTTAGCTGAGGGGTTTTCAGGGGCTGGGGGACGGTGCAGCTCCAGCCCCGTGTGGCAGCAGGAAGCTGTGCCTGGGACTTTGTGGGGAGTGATGGAGAAGGGGGTTATGGAGGGGGTTGGGCACAGGGCTCCAGTCCTGCTCCTCTTCCAGGCTCAGGCTGAACCGCTTTGCCCATCGCCGGCTTTACTTTATCTCCCTCTCCCTGTTAGCACCTGGCTCTGTTTCCTGCCCCCCTAGCAGCGCCTGGGAGCCTGAGCCTGCCCACCACAGGCTCCCCACGCTCTCCCACTCTCCCCAGGGCATCCAGCACCCACCTTTGGCAGAGTCCTCCCTGCAGTGGCAGGTCCCAGCGCCGGCGTGGCAGGAGCCCACCTCTCCCTTCCTGCGCAGGTGTGTCCAGCCCAGGAGCAGGGAGCAGATGAGGGCGCAGAGGCAGAGCCCCAGCAGCAGATACACCACGAGCCACGGCTCCTGCTCCGTACACGCCTTCTGCTCCAGCACGGCCTCGGGCGACGGGGGAGAGGCTGCGGGTCGGGCAGAGATGGGTGAGCTCACACACCCCTGGGGTACGTGCCTCCCTCACTGGCTTTTTGGCACGGAAAGGGCTGGTAGCACTTGTGCTCTCCACTGGGAAAGGATCTGAGAGCAGCTCTGTATCCCCTCTGTCTGCTGGAATTTCTCTTCCAGGGTGAGATAGAGGAGATCCCTTCCCACACCCCATGCCCAGCCTTCCCCCACCTCCAGGGATCATTTCACTGTCTCAACCCCCATGTGGGGCTTGGAGATCTTGGGATCTACCTGTCCCTTCTCACTCCCCCCTCCTTGAGGGCTGGGGGTGGCTCAGCTGGGTGGGATCTGCAGCTGACAGGCCTGTAAAACACCAGCACAAGACAGTGAAAAGGCACTGTAGGATGGAGAAATGGGGGAAGAGATACCCTGACTGCCTTTCCCCAGTCCCAGTAGAATGGCAGCATGCAAAAGTCCAGCCCCAACCAGGATGAAGAGCAGGGTGGGCTTTGCTGCCCCTTCCTCAACTTCAGTCCTGTACCCCGGCTCCTCTTCCAGCCCAGCCCAGCCCTGGGGTCCTACCCCCATCCCACTCACGTTCACAGGATGGGGCACATTCCTTGGGGTGCTGCCCACAGACCGTGCTGCACTCGATGCAGCTTCTCACGAGCTCGTCGTAGTAGAATCCAGGTGTCTTGTTGCAGTCCATGGACTCTGCAGGAGAGGAGGGAGATGAACACGCTGTCCTCAGCACATCCTCCCACACAAGGCTCCCAAACCACCCTCCCAGCACCCCTGGGACTCAGAGTCATGAGAGGATGATGCACTGCCATAACCACAGACAACCTCTCCAGGGCTGGCAGGGTGACAGATCCACGGGATTTGGGGTGCTGTGTGGCTGGATGGTGAAAGGCATCTGCTGGGATGGTGAAAGGCTGGGGAAAGGCATCTGCTGGGAATGGTTGCAGCCAACTGTACCCACCTGCAGCTGGGAGCTCCTGGTTGCTGGCCTAAGAGCTGCTCCTGCCCTGGGGCTTGCACAGCTTTTTGGGACAAACCTGCCCAAGCCCTGGCTCAGGATGGTGGGGATGGCATCTTTATCCTCAACAGAGAGACGTGACTGGTGGCTGCATGTGCAGGGCTGTGTCCCCTGAGCCCTAGGACAGGGTGGAGCCATCCCAGACTGTGGCTCAGGAGAGAGGGAAGGGGCCCTGCTGAGGGTCTGGGTGCAAAGTACATCTGTCCCTTCTCCTCCTCCCTGCCTGTTATCAGGACACCTCACTGCCTGTCCCAGCTCAGGGCCCACGATTCAGCCTCACAGACCTACAGCTTGGGTTTATCATTATCCACATCAGCTGAACCTGATGGCTCACCAGGCCCTGCCTTTGGAGGGTGGGGTGACACCAGGGGGGGACATGAGCGTTGATGCAGCCCTGTGACCCTAAAAGGGAGCAAGCAGTGTAGTGAGCAACTCCGTCCTGGTCTGTGCTGAGCCAGTGCCAGCCCCAGCCCATTGCTGGGAAACTGTTGCATTTTTGTGACATTTTGCCTCATTTTTTGAGCCAAAAATGAGCCCCTCATTTTTGGCTCAAAGCTCTGGTAAGCTGAGCTGGCTCAGAGCCCACCCTGGGGTTCATCCCAGGGTCTGATCCCTCCTGCCAGCTTCGCCCCATCCCTGCCTGCTCCATCCCAGAACAGCCCCGTGGTTCCCGTGCCTGCCTGGCCGGCACTCACCGCACACGGCATCACACCTCCTGGCCGTGGGCTGGCCACACACGAGGCTGCAGGGGATGCACCGGGAAACGAGGGTGTCCCAGTACTCCTGGTCGGTGCAGTTGTTCATGGCATCCCGGCCCACACGCGTCCCATCCATGGCTGCGGAACGAGAGGCACAGGTGGGTACGGGGAGCCACCACAGGGCTGCTCTGCAGCCACCTCATCCCATTCTAGGGGAGCCAGAAACACGACCCGAGGGAGCACTGGTGACGTTTTCTGAAACGAATTTTAGTTCTGGAAACTTCTGAATCCCTCTGTGGCTCCGGGGTAGTTCGTGTGTCATTTCTGACGTCTCTCGTGGGTGTTACGGCATCACAGTGAAACCCCGTCTGGCGTGTAAGGCTCCCTGAAGCAGCAGGAGGGACGTGTCCCCAGGAGAGCTTCAGTGCCACCTGGGATGCCCAGAGGGGGACGTGCTCCTGTCCCTGTGATGGGCTGTTTGCCCCACCATCCCCTGCTCATGTGCACGGGGTGTGATGCCAAGGACACCCAAGAAACAAGGCACCAGCAGCCCTCAGCAGCCCCAAAATCTGGTCAACAGCTCACACTTGGAGGGGTGAGCTGGCTGATGATTAACACTGTGCCGTGTTGTGCCACACGCGGGGTCTGCAGCCACGGAGCAGCTGCAGGGAAAGCTCCAGCCCAGCCTGGGGTGGCTGTGGTGGAACCATGTGCTGTTTGCTGACCGAGAGGGCTCGTGGGACACCACATCCCTCAGCGGAGCTGTGCCAGGAGCTGCAGCTGTTTCCTGCACAGGGGAGGGGGGGGGGGCGATGCCGGTGCTGATGGAGCCCAAAAAGGTTAAATCTCTCCAAAGCCACAGCGCAGAGTTGGCCTCTGCAAAGCCAGGCTCGGATCTGTATCCTGACAGACCCCCGCGCTCCACCAGGATCTCCCCTCTCTCTGGAACTCAGGAGCATCCAGAAGTTGGGCACTTGGCACGTCCGTCTGTCCTGCCATCTCCCACCCTGCAGGGGGGCTGTGGTTGAGTGTCCTCCTCTGCTACCTGAGGCAGCACAGGTAAAACCCTCCCATTCCCAGGGATAACTCCTCTCTCTGCATGGGGGTGCTGGCCTTATCTTCCCAGTTGTTCAATTAACACTGCTATAAAATTAAATAATGGCTTTCTGTCTAGCTGACTGGAGATAATCCCCAGGGCAGAGTGAGGCTCAGGCCGGCGGTTTCTTCCAGTGCTCTTTGAAGGTACTTTGTACCCAGAGAGAAAAATGACAAGACCCCTGGGGATGGCAGGAAGCCCTTGGGGGTATCAGGAGTCCTTGAGGGTGGCAGTGAGCCCTGGGGATGGCAGCCTCAGCCATCCTGGACGCAAGGTGGGGTTTCCCAAGGGATAATTGCGTGGGAAACAGAGGTTTGGGGCTGTGTCGAAGCCGAGGGGAATGCAGACTGTGGACCTCCTTCCCAGCTGCTCCGAGGGCAGGTCCAAGGAGATGTTTGGCCCTATCTGGGACAAATCCTGCCCCATGGCTGAGCTGCCCCCCCCCAAGGAACCCCAAGATGCACATGGTGCTCCCAGCATGGAGCAGCCGGGGCTTTGCAGCTGTGGGTTTTCCAGCAGAGCCAGGGGCATCTGCCCCTCCATCTCTCCATCGATTAGAGTACCCTGAATTCCCCATGGATCCCATATTCCAAGCATCAATTGACCATAGGACAAGGTGGAATGACTTTAGGCTGAAGGAGGGTAGATTTAGTCATTAGAAGGAAATTCTTCCCTGTGAGAGTGGTCAGACACTGGCACAGGTTGCCCGGAGAAGCTTTGTTTTCCCACACTTCCCTGGAAGTGTCCAAGGCCAAGTTGAACAGGGCTTGGAGCAACCTGGGATAGTGGAAGATGTCCCTGCCCGTGGCAGGGGGGTTGAACAAGATGAGCTTTGAGATCCATTCCAACCCAAACCATTCTGTGATTCCATCTCCAGCCCCACAGCACTGACCCCTTCAGCAGGGCGGGAGCCCTTTCTGGTGGCTCTGCTCCTCCAGCAAGGACCTGAGGAGACCCTCCACTCCCTGCCAGCACTCAGGGAACGTGACCAAGCCCCAGGCCCTGGCACAGACCAGCCCCTCACCCTCATCTCCCCGTGCAGCCCCTTGATGGGGTTACTCACGTTTGACTCCCCCGGTGTGTCTAATCCCCCTCGGCTCCTGCCATGGCACCACGAGCTCCAGCCTCGGGCCTCTGCATGGCTTGGGGGGGGTTTATTATTAGAGACCGATTTGATTAATGCCTGGGCTGAGCATTTCCTGGGGTTTCCCCTTATCCCTTCCATGCAAATGGGCCGCACACGCAGCAGTTGCATTGGCTCCTCGGGGTCCCTGGGCTGCAGGGAGAGCGGGGCCAGGGTGGGAGGGACACTGCGGGGTGATGTGTCACCAGGAGCAGGGACAGGTGTCCTGGGCCAGGTGGCCACGTTTCAGAGGGGCCTGGAGGGGCAGGGGCTCTGCTGCACCTGCCCTTGGATCACCTGGCTGCAACAGAATCCCGGAATTATTAAGTTTGGAGAAGACCTCTAAGGCCATCGAGTCCAACCTTAACCCAGCACTGCCACGTTCACCTCTCACCGTGTCATGACACATCTACATGTCTTTTAAATCCCTCCAGGGATGGGGATTCCACCACTGCCCTGGGCAGCCTGTGCCATTGGGATATTTTCTTCCATGTTTTGCCCTGTGGAGGAGGCAGCTGCTGGATCCAAGCACCGCTTGGGGCATCCATCCTTTCCCTGTCCACAGGGTGCTCAGCCCACACCACTGTTTCGTCTCCTGCTCACAGTTCATCTCGTGGGCCACAATAAGATGCTTTAAGCACTGATTTTCTCTGGTGTGTCCATGTCTGGGAGGCAGTAGAGCTGTGCTGTGTCCTGTGTGGACAACCAAGGTCCTGACTGGGCTCAAGGCACAAGACATGAATAACACAGCTTGGTTTCACAGTGTTAAAGAGCTGTTCCAGCTGTGCTGCTGGAAGCCTCCAGAGGATTCTCCATTTCCTGCAGAGGTGCTGGGCAGGGCTGTGCCGTGTCTGTGATGCAGGGAAGGGGCACGGGGTGCTGGGAGCACGGTGGAGCAGTGACTCAGCTCAGTCCAGAGGGACCTTTCTGCAGAAACTGCTGAATGAGGAAGGAAACAGCAATACCTGTTACTATAAATGTCAGTGGAGCAGCACCAAGGGTTTTTTTCTGCTCGGTTCAAAAACTCCTGCTTTGTGCTCGCCATGGGGAGCTGCAACTCATCAGAATGTTTTCCTACCTTGTCCACTGCAGGGACATCAGAAGCTGAAACCTTCTCACGGGGAACAAAGCCCAGAGCAGAGGAGTGCAGCACCCCAAGGCTGGATGTGGCCCATCACATCCTGCATCCTGCAGGAGGGAGGGAGATCAGCACCATCCCATGGACCGCAGGGCTTGGAGCGAGGACCAGGAGAGGAGGCACCGTGGCCACGGGGACTCTGCAGCTCCTGCACTGTGCCACGTGCGTGGCTGTGCACCTGGTGAAAGGGGTGGGATTGCTCTGGGGTTGAGTCTCCCCCACTGGGAAGATGCGTGGAGTGTCCTGGGAGGGAGTGGAAGGCAGAGGCACTGGAAGGGGGATCGTGTGGCATGAGGGCTTGGGGGCAAAATGCACCTTTGCAGGCAGCTGGTGGCTGTCCACGTGCAGAGTCATCCCATTCGTGCTGTGCCCGGGCAGAGGGCAGAGCCTGGGGCCCTTTTCCATGCAGAGATAGAGCTGATGGTGAAGGAAATTGTGATTTTGGCATTGCCTGGGCTGGTTGAGTGTGGCAAAGCATGGACCCTGAACAGTGGCCCTGGAGCAATGGCCTGAGCCCTCCAGCTCTCGGGGTTCTGCAGGGGAAACTCACCTCTTTAAATAGCAGCCAGAGACTTGCAGTTTCCACCCTGGTGAGCCTTCAAGAGGGAAGTGAGAAGCACTTGGGGGTGGTTTGTGCCTCCTGGCTGAGCAGGGATCAGGCAGTGTGGTTTCTGCTTTAGAATTCTTGGTGTGTGCTGGACTGGAGCCCCAAGGTCTGACCCTTTGTGCCCCAAACAGCATCACCCCTCCCACAGCCCCTGGGGTTGCTGTGTGGCTCTCAAACACCTCCAGACTTGGTCCCCCGTGAGCTGCCACCTCACAGCCAAGGTGGTGGCTGCTGCTCTGCCCTGCCTGGGTTTGTCCCTGTGCCCATAAGGGGATCAGGCAGCAGCCTCCAGCCCCCTGCTCTGGGTTCCTGAGTTAAACCTTCCCTTTGCTGTGTTCACTGGTTCCCCAGAGCATCAATCAGCAGCTCCCCATGCATCCTCCCAGTGCGATGCATCCCTTTGGATTCATCTGCATGGCTTTGCATCCCCCCACATTGTTTTGCCTCCTTCAGGGCCCATCTGCTCATGGCTGCAGTGGTGCCACAATCTGTTTGGGATGATAGAACCCAGTTTGTCCCAACAATAAAATGTATTTTTCCTCAGGGCTCTTGCCCCAGTGGCAGTGCTGCAAGGAGAGCTGCAGGTAACAGGCAGACAGGGTGGATAATGTTTGGCTCTGAAAATTTTGGCGGGTTCTTTGCCTTCCCTTTGAGCAGCTTTGCCAGGATATTTCCCTCCCAGCCTCCCCCCAGCCCATCTGCCTTTTGCAGTCCCTGCACCTCGGCCAAGGCATTTGCTCGCACACGTGTTCCCTTTGGGACCCGAGAAAAGGGGCCGTGAGGGGAGGAAGGGGAAGAGGAGCCCTTTAGGGTCGAAACTGCCAACTGCAGGGCTGGGTTGGGCGCAGATGGCTCCGAGCACGGCTGCTGAGGACTCATTCCTGTCACCCAAATTCCCCTCGGACACTCTGGAGTCAGATGTGCCCGTCCCCTAGGCCCTGCCTGGCCGTCATCCCTGTCCTGTCGGTGCCACCGATGCCTCGTGGCAAACAGAGCCACTACGTGACCCAACTCACGGGGTTGGTGGTGCAAACAGCCACCAACACTGCCTGGTTTCTTGGTGCACAGCCGGATCCATGAAGATACGCCGGGTGTCTGTGCAGGATCTGCACCCACACACTCGGGGAGAACCACCACGGTGTGCTTGTGGCCACGTTTCCAGCCGCCCTGCCTGCCTGCCCTGCCTGCAGTGCCCCAGCCAGGAGCTCATGGCAGCACTTGGGTGGATGGGGAGCCTCGGGGTGCAGCTCCAGCTCCCCCAGTCCTGCACCCAGAGGTGCCTGTCCCGCAGCCGGGTGCGATGCTGGGCCCGGCTGTGTGGGGCTGTCCCCAGGAGATGGCACCCTTGGCCAGCCCAGCCCGGCTCCTGCTGGGTGCTGGTGCTCTGGCTGCCCTTGCAGCCCCAAAATCCTCCAGCTGGACACCCCGGCCCTGCCTTCGCCAGCCAGGCCAGGGGCTAAGGGGGATCACAGCGCCATGGAATGGTTTGGGTTGGAATGGACTTTAAAATTCATCTTGTTCCAACCCCCTGCCATGGGAAGGGACACCTTCCACGAGACCAGGTTGCTCCAAACTCTGTCCAGCTTGGCCTTGGACACTTCCAGTGCCTGTGCCAAGGGTCTGACTCTCACAGCCACTGTGGTGAGACCTGGGGCGACCCAGGCTCCAGAGGTGTCCCTGCTCATCATCAGGGTGATGCTGAAAGAGCCTCCTTGCCAAAACCTGGCACAGATCAGGAAAGGGGAGCATTACCAAAAACCAGGCTGTGCTCAGGGCTGGCTCCCCAAACCTGGTAGCCATCTGGAGAGCGAGGACAGGCAGACAGAAAAGGACCTGTTTTGGCTGAGGGCTGGCGTGGAAGCGAGGATGAAACCCTACAAAGGCGTAGGGAAGGAGCAGGGAAAGGAGGGTTCAGTGCCAGGGCTGTGTGCTGAGGTGTAAAGCGTGGGTGGCGGATAAGGGAGATGAGTCAAAGAGCAATCTTTGGTCAGAGCAGCTGATCAGATTACGTGGAGCTTTAACCTGGTGGGAACAACTCCCTGTCCCCATCCCTGACACCACTGGGTTTTCTCAGGAGAGGCGTTCCTGGCAGGACCCTCTCAGGAAGGGACTTGCAGCCTGCCCAGGAGCTCTGCTGCTAATTTTTAACACTAAAAACCCTGGGGAAATTCCAGAGAGCTGGAGGGCAGCCAGTGGGAGTCTAATATTTAAAAGGGATAAAAGGGCTGACCCTGGGAATTACAGACCAGGTAAGGCTGATCGCAGTCCCTGCACAAATTATGGGCTGGGTAATTGGGGATACTGTCAGCCAAAAATTAGAAGCTAAAAATATAATTAAGGTCGTTAGCTTGGTTTCATGGATGGCAGCTCCTGTCAAGTGAGTCGGCTTTGGTTTTTGGCATGACTCTGGGCTGGCTGATAAAGCTAATTGTGCTGCTGCATTATAATGGGTTTCTCCAAAGTATTTAATTTAGGGCCATGTGACATTTCCATTTGTAAAACTTGCATTATATGGAGTCAGCAGAGCAGACATCCGACGGCTGCACTGGCAGCTCCGGGGTGGTGGCCAAAGGGGCGAGTGATGGAGGAGGCTGAGGGGACCCGAATTTGCATGGGATGATGTTTTTAGCAGGGATGCTGAGGTGAGAGGGGATCACAGGGGGCTCCCCTCTGCCCAGCCCGCCAGGCAGGGCCCAGCCTAAAGGTGGGGAGACACATATGGGAACAAAAGATACTGATCTTTCCTGCTAAAGTATGGCGAGGTTCAATGGCAGCAGCAGCCACAGGACCCACTGATAACCCAACTGGAAGGGTAATTAATCAGTTGTAGCAGAAGAGTATGAACTCACAGACATTTGGCATCTCTGGACAAGAGGAAAGCTCTGCTTGGTGGGAGAGGATTTACTGTAGCTTGTAGGAGAAGCTCAAGCCTCTGTGTGTGTGTGTGAAACCTGCTCTGGACCATCCTCGTGCTCTTTTCCAGCTCCATGAAAGCTGCATCCTCCACCTGCGAGGGTGTTTTTCACTCTATGTGGATTTCTAACCTGTGGGTTTCACCCTTAAAAGACACAGAGTGGCTTGAGGACCTGCATCCAGCATCCTACAGGTTGGAGCAGGGCAGGAGGATGGGAGCCCTCAGAGGTGCCACTGTGTCCCAGCCTGGATCCAGAGGGGATCACAGGGCTTGCTGGCTTTAAACAACGACTCCTGCTCTCTCCCCTGGGC